GCCCTACCTCGTCCCAAGCTAATCGTATTTTAATGGTATGATTAGATCACTATACACGAGCACGACTGCGTTATCTGGTATCTCATGCACTTTCGATGCTCCAATGACGCAATGTATAAAGGAGTTTTGGCCACCTGGCCATAAAACTGGGTGAGGACCGAATTATTTCACACATCTAGTACATTGGTATGGCATTGTTAACTGTGAAAATTCGAGTCAACAACATGTGAATCACCACTTTTTGACTTATTTGACGGCATCATACAGTGATAGACCAATCTGAGGCGCCAAGTACAAATAGATGACTGGGCTAAGCCACAAACACAAGTTGTTATAATGAAGTATAACCGAAAAAGACAATGGAGACCGGAATGATCATTTCTGGTTCATTGGCCATCATCAGCCAGTCGTACCCAATCTCGGACGGTGACTCCCGCGAACCTTTGGTCATACAGTGGAACACACAACCATTGCACCACAGGTCCGATGTTTTGTTGGTTGCGACCTGGAATATAATAATACTAGGGCGCTCACCAATCTGGTATTGGCGATTCCACTTCATGGGCGTTATGCAACTGCCTGTGAAGGCTCTAGTTTAGTTTCAAGGCACAACGGGACGAGCCCTACTATCATCACATTCCCAATCGCAACTGACAAAAACGATGGAGCCTGTAGCTCAATGGTGGAGTGTTATATTCAATGAACAAAGGGTTTCCGTTTCCCGGGCGATTCACACTTACGATTGGGTGTGACTGACTGATGACGGCTAATAAACCAGAAACGGACATTCGAGTCTGCCTTGTCTTTGATGGTTTCCACTGCATAAATAGATATTTAGCCTTGAGGGACGCTCATCGATCGCGCTATGGTACAGTAAATCCCCCCAATCTGGTCACTTCTGTACAGTCCTACAACCCGGGATTCGGCCCGATGATTGTAGTGCGCTAAGCACAACCACTACTCAATCAGTACAATCGGTATAACATCGTTATCGGACGGGAAACCTGAATG